TGATGACCATGTCAGATATCTGGAGCATTCATTTAGCCTCTCTACATCTCTATTCCATATTTTGTCTGTCCTTACAATGCAGTTACTACAGTTTGTATTCAAGTGTATCTTTGGATGATTAAAAGTTGCATATCAAAAGTAGGTCAATGTTACCTATATTTTGACATTGTAATATTTTATTCACAGCATAAGGTTACTGAAATAAGTCTACAGTTTGGAAAATAAAGAAATCATTAGTGGAAGACAGTGGAGTGCCTAACAATTCATTGCCTTGTCCATAGATAAGTTGATATATCGTTTCTGTACAGACAATTGGGTTTTATTGTGAGATAATTATGGTTTTGTATAAACTTTGGTCCCAATGTTCAGTCATAATAATCTCAAGATCAAAACTTTTTTTTTCAATTGACCATAACAAACAATATTTACAACGCTACAGTGAGCTAATACGTGAATCATCTCTTGTAACACTGCTATACTTATGTATACTTTTAAATATATATATATATATCGTGGTCTGACGGCATTGTCATAGCTTGTTAGGTTTGAATTGGGCTACGAGACAATCATTTATCTCTGTCCAATTGGGGAATTTTCCAGAGGGAAACATCGCATGCTGTATGTTAAAATTGAATCGCAACTTCTAACGGAATGGAATTTTTGACCTGTAGAACGGCTGGTTCCATCGGGAATAGATTGATTCTGAATTACGACCACTTTGGTGCTCTTTGATTGTGTAACATAACATTCATTAGATGGGGAAATGGCTGTCTGTCCATGTATTTATAGACGACTGATGGCAGGTCTAATTTGCTACCCCTCTTCTCCCCCTTCTCAATCATTTGTATGCCCACCTCCCCTCCCAGACTTTCCCCACCGCAACCGTCATCAGTAAAAAGCTACCCCTTAGGCTAACGAAACCGTCCTAATCATGACCAAAGCAATACATTGTCTTAACAGTCATAAAAGTGCTGATGAATGGTCCGTCTGCTATTTGTGAAATTGAATTAGGACATTTTGGGCGCCACATTACGGTAGCCAATAGCCTGCCCAACAGTGTGTTGCACCAAATTTCTATGTTATCATTGGAATTCCAATCACATGTGGAAAAAACGCTAAAGTTCAATTATTGATGAAGTACAAAAGATAAAAGAATGGGTCAATGTTTGGTTGGAACAGGGGCATCAGAAAATATTTTTTTCCACGACTTTCTGTTCTTTCGGAAACAAAACTCGTAATTGTGCTATATGAGGGGATTGATTAGCACTACTGGGCTATTGGGATTTCCCCGATGGCACTGGCCTGACCTCTAGTGGCTGAGGCATGTACGTATAATGTCCCTGCTCTTTGTGTCATCCTCATGTTTAATTCAAGAGCTCTTGCAGATCACATACATCTCCAAGGATGCATGTCTTCAAAAAGTAACCACTATTAGATTGTTTCCAATGAATTGCCGAAGGCCGTCTTTCCAACAGAATTTTGTGATAAGTCTAAAAAGCAATACGGCCCAAGCCAGGAAATATTGGTGATATCGCAAACGTTCATTAAAATTTTGGTTGTACTGGAAGCATGTTGTGACTTTCCTGCTAATTTACATTGACAATGGCTTTGCATACGGATAACAAGTTTGAAGGCAAGACATCAGAAATCCAGCGCAGTGAAAACACTCAGGAGTTCAAACCTATGGGAATTCATTGCATATTCACTTCTGTAAAGTAAATTTATTTGAAATTTCTACAGCATAGAGAAATGCTATGACTGCGAATGTACTGATTTCTGTATAAAGTGGATTTTGAAAGCGCAAAATTATGATAACCATTAAGAACAGAATCAATATTCCTGCATGTTTTGATAGAAATAAATCCTGATACAATGTAGATCTGAGAATTATGATGATTCTAATGTAAATATATGTATATAATACAAATGTATAGACTTGACTGAGATGAACAACATGTACATTTCATTGAATTTAAGTTTTATCACTGATTGGCAACCAATGGCTGTCTCACTCAGACTGCGCATGTCCATCATCTTTTTCTTAAAAAATTTAAAGTTATCATTATAGTACTTAATAATTGCTTTGAATTCCAAGAAGGTTATGATCACAGCCTCTGATTGGCCGAGACATATTCAACTTCTTCTCTAAAAGTGACCTTTCAGAATTCAACCAAACTTGGTATGACTGTTTCTTTTTTGGTCCTATAACCATGTTTAATTATCCTGTTCTGCTACCAAAATACATTTCCCTTGTCTTTGAGTTAAATTTAAACAAATTTAATGTTCACCCCATGGGAGAAAAGTCCATTGTACAATGGTTTACCAATTGTGGGTTAAGAAATATAATTTTAGATATCAGATAAGCGAGAAAGGATTCATGGGCTATCGTTTTGGTTTATGCAGCTGTTAAATATTTTCAGCCAATCAAATTGATGGGAAATGAATCGTAAAACTAAAATTGTTATGTGAAATGGTTTCATAGACAAAGTTAACAAACCTATAATACACTTCATCAGTCGACAATAGAATCAGGTTTACGACAACAATTTCTTAAACAATGTTGTTATTGTGTGACTTAAGTGTAGGAAGGGGCGACTTGTGTTTGGATATAATAGTGTTTAGTGTATACAAGGGGTACTACACAGGAAGACAACTGAAGGCTAATGAGGCGTGCCTATCACCGCTGTTTTCTGGGTCAGCGACTGCATGCCTATACAGCTGTGACATTATCTAAGGAAAGATAACTCCGCAGGTCACTGATACAGTTCCCATGTCATCGCTTCCTCAAAACTGTCTACAGTCCATACTTTATGGTGGTTTCATGGACGTTTGCCTCAGACAGTTTTGTCTGTAAGATAGCACCAGCTTCACTTGAATGTTACAGTGAGTGGAAGGAAAAGGGGACGTTTTGTTCAGTTGAGTATAAAGACATCAGAGGTACCATGCATGCTTTTAACATGTATGACTTTAAAACAAGATTAAGAAAAGTTTTAGACGAAATATTGATTTTTTTTAAAATTAATTGGGAATAATAATGGAATTGGACAACTATACACTGTAAGGGAGATGTCACCATGACCTTGAAACCTGCATTTACCTTGACCTTGAGATCAAATTGAATCATTATGACCTTAAGGTTTGTCATCATGACCTTAATGACAGTCACTATAATCCTGATAACAAAGTGAATTACAATGACCTTGACATTTGTCTCCTTGGCCTTGAAATGAGTAACTATAGCCCTGGGATCACAATCAGCCAGTATGACCTTGACATTTGTCACTATGACCTTAAGGTCAATTACTGTAACCCTCACATCACATTGAGTCATCATGACCTCAAGGTTTGTCAATGTGACCTTGAGGTCATAATATGTTAATGAAGTGTATTACTGTATTTTTGTGTTGTTTATCAGATTTTTGACTTTGCCACACAATACATTTGGTACAAATACATATAAAGTGTGTAGGTGACCTTGACTTTTGTATTTAAACAAGCTTCTCTCTACGTACAACAGTATCAGAGTGACTGTGCTAGCCTAGAATGGGAATAAACACAAGCTAGGCCCATACAGCTGCACTCTACCACTACTTAGGGCTGTAGAAGATTACAAATACCAGCTGATTTAATCGATTTCCTATTGATTAAAGCTAACCACACAATATTAGAGTGTGATTCCCTTGATGTTAGACGGAGGTTTTAAGTCTCTTAGTCGTTACAAAGCATTATGTTATCCTGGTGACTGTGAGGGTTTTAACAGAAATGATCATTTACTCTATCATTGGTATGTTTCTATTGTTTATATTGTTGTGTATGCTCTATACTACTTCCTACATGTAAGACTTGATTGGATGCTTGGTATATACTGCTTGATTATACAGGGTTACATAGAAATGTATATAGTAGGACCTAGTTAAAGGTCTGGTTTAAACTGGTATCCAGATTATACAGGGTAAACAGAAATGTATATAGAAGGACCTAGTTGAAGGTCTGGTTTATACAGGTATCCAGATTATACAGGGTTACATAAAAATGTATACAGTGGGACCTAGTTGAAAGTCTGGTTTATACAGGTGTCAAGATTATACAGGGTTACATAAAAATGTATACAGTAGGACCAAACAGAAGGTCTGGTTTATACAGGTGTCCAGATTATACAGGGTTACATAAAAATGTATACAGTGGGACCAAATAGAAGGTCTGGTTTATTCAGGTGTCCAGATTACACAGGGTTACATAAAAATGTATACAGTGGAACCAAATAGAAGGTCTGGGTTATTCAGGTGTCCAGATTACACAGGGTTACATAGAAATGTATACAGTGGGACCAAATAGAAGGTTCATTTTATGGAGGTTTCTTGATAGTACACAGTTTTTGCTTTATACAGGTTTTAATGTACTACATAAGGACACAGACATGCCTGCCAGGTTCAGACACTCATTGTTTATTATGAACTACTTAAGCCTTGCATGACATGGAAAAAGACGCCTGCCAGCTACATTGGTAGGCTTATTGACTACTTTTAATAATGAAGGTTTTCAAAGAGACTGGAACATGTTTAATACAAAGATATTTTTGGCATATGGCTACTCCCAGAGATGCCAATAGCGCACATGGCCCCCTATGAAGTCGGGAGCAACCACAAGCACGATATGGCCACCAGGTGGTGCTTACCTAGTGAGGAGAATCCGGGGAACCCCAGGGTTTGTGTATGTATATACAGACTGCAGGGAATTGTTGATAGGATGGGGTGGAACATGTGTCCTTGTTTTAGGAAAAGTCTGTATGTAAACAAAGAGGTGAGCAACTAGAGTAGTGAATCAGGCTGAGAGGTGGGTGTCCATTCCTGTCTTCAGGAAACTCACAAAGATCTATCTACAGCAATTGGTTTAAAGAATGTTCTCACAGTCAAAGTTTGGAAACCCTATATAACCTGTCAAGTTTTGGCATCAGCATTGGTTACAGCACGGATGTTGAAATTGTTTTACCTCAATTTCAGGAGCGAACTTTCACTTGTGTGGTGTAGTCTCTGCAATCAATGACGCCCTTGGGATGTACATGTGTTTTGGGTAAGTTTTCTCTAAACTACTACAGTGCATGTATGCAGGATAAAAAAAACCCATTTGCACCGCAATAACCTTGTTTAACTGTAGCACTGTACAAATATGTTCATATTTCATGCTGTAGAAGCGTTTTTAATTCTTCTGCATTTGCTGTATCATCTGTCCTGATATTAATTACCTCTGATATGGGTTTACTTGTACTTCAAAGCGTGAAACCTATGACGTTCATTGTACCCATCTCGAGAAGGGCGGAGGTACTTGACATCAGGAACAAGTCTTTAGGATGACACATGTCAGCACTGAAGAGTTCTATCTGTAGTAAACATAGCTATCAAGTTATCAGTTTATAAAAACCTGTAAAATAAGATACGCTTAACTGCTTATTTAAACCAGCCTTACGTGACAACCTGTCTAGTAAAACAACCTGTCATAAGAAACATTACCTGTCTAGTGAGACAGTCTGTCATGATCATGAGAGGCCACCTGTTTTGAGGGACCAAATATGTCTTTGGTGATTATCTATTTTATGGGACATAAAGATTATTTGGTCATTTTATGTCAGTTTTATTTTAAAAAGGGAGAAATTTTCTGTCAGATGGGACAACCTTTTGTCTTAAAAGAGTACCTGTCTTGTGAGACAACCGATCTTGTTTGACATGGTCTAAAAAGATCCTTTGTCTTGTGGGATTGCCATTCATGTCAGACATGTTGTTAAAATCTGTCCGTCTGGTGGGACTTCCAGTTGTGTAGGAATTGATCTTAAGGATCCCGTGCCACGGCAAAAAATTGCAACTAAGTATTTGAAACTGTCTTCTCCAGCATGACCATAGCTTTGATAAATCATTTCTGAAAAGAAAATCAACGATAGTGTTCTGAGTGTAAAAACAGATCACGGGGCTAGACCCAATTTGGACCCTGAATTTCAGACTGCTTAACTATGGGTCTTACCAATTGAGCTACCTGGTGGACTGGAGTGTCCTGCCCCAATAGTTCTACAGTTATACCCAGACATAAGTTAAGGGGAGGTTACTGTGTATAGGAAAAACCACAGTGCTCCTTAAAACACTGTCGGTCTTATGGGACTACCAGTGGCATTGGGATATGGTCTTGAAAGGGCACTTGCCTTGAGTGACCGCCTGTCAGTCGAAGATACCATAGGCTGTAATTTCACTGTAACTCTGGAAACAACTACATGTAGCTATGTGATGAATGACCGGGAAATGTATTGTACGTTGGGGTCAGTCAGAGCCAAGGTGAGTTGGTGCTATATTCCCTGTGGTCTCGTTAACCTCCCACTAGCTGTGTGAAGATAATTGTTTTCATCACAAAATTCCATCTGCACATTTTAATGTTTCACTGCCCAGTATTAATTACAGTAATGCTATTTTGTTTTCATCACCAAAAACAAGAATGCAAGCACCCGGTGCTAATTAGAGTATTTTTCATCTTGATCTTGGTCACATGAAAACATCGAACTTGCCTTGCCAGCCATATAGCATGTACAAAAATTCCGTAAACCCTGTTATTTGATCAGAAATCCAGTCCCAGTGGTAAAGAAAAACGAGATACACTGTAGGTTTTATAGGAAAAGGTCCGCAGCCGTGTTTAATTATGCAAGGTTTGACACATGTGCGATGCTTGTTAATTAACCCTGTTTCAATATAGATACCTATGTACACATGCAATCATGACACCTGTTGCCCTCCTTTACTTTTACTGCAATAATAGGAATTTGTTTGCAGTGTTTGATTTTTTTGTCTATTGTGGTAATGAAGAAACCCATTTGTTTCTAGTTTTGAAATCTGATAGGATACTGCAGAATTTACAGAAGTACATGCATGCTGAGTTGCTCAAAGCCCCATCCATACATACCACCACCCAAGTGCACCTCAAACACCCCCCCCCCCGTCATTTCCATCCTGTCACAATTTTATTCACCTAAATACTGAAATAATTGTTTTTGTTCTGCACAATCAATTCACTACTAAAGTTAGCTTATTATAAGATTAAAATCGGGAGACCTAATGATTACCCAGTGATATCTGTAACTAATCGATAGAAATTAATGCCCTCAGCACGAAATGTGGAGACGATGATTCAGCACCTTAGTTATCTGTCGGTATGAATCAATGGCCTTAACACAAATTAGAAGGAAATAATAATTCAGCATCAATATCAGTTACTAGTCTATGTTAATATACTCAGCACAAAATGTGGAGACGATGATTCAGCACCGATATTAGTTACTAGTCTATGTTAATATACTCAGCACAAAATGTGGAGACGATGATTCAGCACCGATATTAGTTACTAGTCTATGTTAATATACTCAGCACAAAATGTGGAGACGATGATTCAGCACCGATATTAGTTACTAGTCTATGTTAATATACTCAGCACAAAATGTGGAGACGATGATTCAGCACCGATATTAGTTACTAGTCTATGTTAATATACTCAGCACAAAATGTGGAGACGATGATTCAGCACCGATATTAGTTACTAGTCTATGTTAATATACTCAGCACAAAATGTGGAGACGATGATTCAGCACCGATATTAGTTACTAGTCTATGTTAATATACTCAGCACAAAATGGACGTTATAAATCAGTTTCAAGCTGGAAAGAAATAATAATTGAGCACCAATATTATCAGTTACTGGTTGAGATAAGTCAATGTTTTCAGCACAAAATTTGGACACATTCAGCACTAATATCAGCGATCAATATGATATTGTGACCTCAGCACAAAACATGAAGATGACTCAGCACCAGTATCAGTTACCAGTCAATATAAATCAGTTTCCACCGAAGTGAAGATGATTCAGCTCCGATATCAGTTACCTGTTATCGTCCTCAGTTTAGCATTATAATCTGTGTAAACAGTATGAAAACCGCAAGATTGGTTAATCGTAAACCGCAAGATTGTTTAATTGTCACGTGCACAGTTCTGGTAAAACAGTCTACCACCAGTGTACTTGTATTGTAGATTTATTTATACTTTAAAGTTCTTGAATTCTCCTGCACTAACTGAATTATAGACAGTTTCTCTGGCAAGTAAAACTGGTTTGCGAGAGTATAAGGAGAGGAGGCTAATACAGTGTGTTAGCAGTACTGCCTGGTAATGGGAGCAGTTAGACTCTAATTGCCTGTGTAATGATTAAACAAGCAGATCACTTGACGAACAATAATAACTTTGACCTACTGGTTCTCCTGTAAAATACTAAACTAGATTTTACGAGCCCTTGACGTATTCTGTTACGTTGTAACATATCTGGTTAATTACGGAATACCCTTGATCTGTTACAACACGACTATGGTGGGTTTTGTGTGTAGAACCTTATAGATAGAGAAAAACCAAGAAAGCTGACACATCCAGTACAAGTACGTAAGGCATTCCGTAATTGAGGTTTTGTCTTCTTTTGAAAAAACTCTTTGTTACATCTCCTGAAGGGGACATTATTGCTAGGCATGAAATAGGTTTTTAACCACCTGCACTGATAGTGTTTTATCTATCTCAAAGCGGGGTTTATTTATGGGGTACAATGTTGAGGCCCACATGTCATTGTTGGGGCCTGTTGATACTCTGCCATGTTTATTGTATATGACATCACTCTGTTGTCATGGCTACAAGTCTGCAATAAAATGTCCTAACGATCTGTCTTAGATTTCACAAAGAAAAAACTCAACTTGTTGGGCTAAGTGTACTTTTGTTTAGAGAAAATTTCATTCTAACTCTATTTTCTTTTTACATCAATTGATAATAGATTAAATTACATTTGCAGTACTACAAATATTGAAAGTTTTTTCCTCGGAATAAAGGGGATATGATATTTGTTCCACAGAAAATAACTGAAAAAAATCCAAGTAAACAGTTGCAAAACCATTGCATTAGTAAAAATGTAACTATATATTCAGAATAGAAAAAAAAAATGTTCTTTTATGGACAACTTTTAAGTTCATTGAAATGAGGATACAAGGAGGCAAATATATTAGAGAAATACAGGTAAAATACAGGCGAAATACAGGTGAAAAAGTGCAGATGTCCTATGTCTGTTCCACGTACAGCTGAAGTCGAGCACTACCCTAGCAAACATATAAAGAGAGATATATTTTTGTGAGATTTGGCCATTTAGACATAAAGTCTGGCAACTATTTGGTTTCTTTCAAATATACATTACAAAAAAGGCCTACTCGGAGTCCCAGTGATGTAATTAAAACCCTTGATTGAGCACATGGACAATCAGCAAATGACGAATACTTTGTTTTCATCCAGTCCCACCTTCTGATCAGTCAGCTGGTATGTGTAATGGCGGGCGAGACGTTATTGAGATTTTTTTTCCGTAAGAAAGCAAATTTTAATACTAATGAAATGATAAAGAAACTTTTAAGTCTGAATATATGTTGTAAAGGTATATCAAATTTTACGTTTTTAATCATTTTGTATGAATTTCAAAAGGAACATAATATTGTGTGTGTTAAGAAGGAAGTCAATATCTGTACCGTCACTGGTAGGACGATTAGTCGGCTTTGTAATGTATAAAGCTGAAGGTGATACATGTACAATTTATTGAAACGAAATGTACATGTCCTTTATAATTTTAAGAGATCACCACTGGAAAATATTCTCAAAATGACCTACACTGTATGTCTGTGCATACGTTACAAAATATCAGAATTTTTATAGAAATTTTCAAGAAGCATGACTTACCCAAGTTTTGGTCTTTTTCAGTTCTATATAGATTACATCCTGTGGTTTATATGAGGTATTCATTTTTGCATTGGAGTAATTCCCAAGGTGATTAAGTGTTAAAACTTCTCACAAATATTTCTTCAGACACGGTTCAACAAGACACATACAAGTCATTCATTGTTCATTTCATAAAATTCAAATTTTCACAAATACCTCTTATAAGAAAAATTGCAGAAATGTTTACTCACAAAAATTAAACATTGGACAGAATTTCAGGAATTTGAGTTTTTGGTTGTGCTCTGATATCTTGTG